GAGAGAAAAAAAAAGTATATACACACACACACACACACACACACACACCCCAACTGCAAATGGGGTAACTTTAAAATTTTAATTGCTGTTGTAACATCATATGGGAGATGTAAGGCTGGCCACACAAATCACAAGACACCATTCTATTTCTCTATCTGGATGGATGCAATTCCTGACAGAGGTGAAAATGAAGGGCAAATTGTTTCCTTAAGTAGCAATAGAAGGAAAAACAGAATTAGGTACTTGACCAAATTTATTTCCCCTTAAGCATATAAATATTGGCCCAGGCATCAGGCCTGGAAAATACAATTGCTTTAGGCAATATTGAAATAAACACCTTCATAACAGCAAAACTGAGCTCACACCAGGGGACTGTACTGCATTAATTTCATCAGTTCCCCTAATCTTGTGTATACAAGTTCTAAGGTACACTAGCTTGGTACAGACTTTAGTCTCGAGCCCTTGAAGTGCATATATAAAGAGTAGTAACATTGCTGTCTTTGGCAGTTTCTGCTTCTGTCAGTCCTTGAAATGCTTCTGCTGCTACAGCCAGGGAAAGGGACACTTAGGCAGCACCATGGCCTAAGCAGCTTCAGCAGCTATTTAGGGGCTCATTTATGGCAAGAATAGAAAAACCTGACTTGCCTCAAGGTTACTCTTAAATACTACAGAAGAGTAAGAGAAATGGCCTCAAGGTCAGCCACAGGAACCTGACGGATGGAGACATCCATGGATCTCCCTCTTTCGATCAATCCCCACCAGCAAAACAAGAAATAGACTGACTGGTAATCAGTAATAGCAGAAATAATAGTCRTGATAGCAAACTGATGCAACAGATTATGGTGAACTGTTTGGCTGCATGGTGAATAATGGATTGTTGCCTTATTGCATGCTGCTGCATCCTCCCCTTCTTTCAAGAGGCTTCCACAGGGGCTAGAGGCATACAACAAATTCCAGGTAATATCTAATACTCATGGTATAGGTGACCTGCTYGCTAGAAGCTGGAGCTAGGAAGAAGTACAACAGGGACAGTTTTGACAGGTTGAGCTTTGCAATATATAAATAAATAATGAACAAACAAGCAAATTGTTGGAGAGTGCATTTGGAGTTTTAACAAGATATAAACCCAATACTCCACAACCAGATGTCTTAGATAACTTCTCAATTGAAAGCTAAAAGCAAGTATAAAGAACCCTCTCCAAAATTGGGGCTTAGGAACTCATAAGCCTGTGGCAAGGCTGTCATCATGTGAGATAAACTTGAGCACTTGCATTAATGGGGTTGGGGGTGAGTGGAGAAGGAAAGGATGTGTTTCCATTAAGCTGCTGTAGTGCTACCTGGAACACAATATAGCAAGGGATTTTAAGGTAACAAGCTACTATCCCCTCACTGCTCTTTSAGTAAAAGGACTGATGTGAAATAATTGTCTTTTCAGTATTAGCATTATCTGGTCAGAAATTTCCTTCTCACAATAAGTAAGCACCACCGTGTCTCAATGATTCACTTTTTCTGCTCCTCATTTCCTCCAGTTCTACTGGGAAAGAACACTATGGTGTGATCATAAATGTCATCATCAGCAAACAATGAAGCTACTTGAAAACTAGTTTTGTGCTAGCACTGTCAGCTCCAGTGTTCACTGACTGAACACACAAAAATGTAAACATCTCAGATAAGATTTAAGGTACACAGATGATGAAATAGAAAATCCACTCCCAATATGCTGCAGCGTGCAGGCAGAAGAGCAAAYGTATTTTCAAGAACCCCCTCTACCCAGCCATAAGCACTTAAAATTAGACATTACCATTACGATCTTGTCATCTGATCTCCTTCAAAAGGTCAGGAAAAGATAAACATTATGAGCTTATTTGTGCAAAGCAGAATAGAAAGTGATACTGTCTTATAAAAACAACAGTTGATTACAGCCTTACAGTACATACAGCAGAATTACTTAACCATTCAAGTTGGTGGGTTGGCTTGCAGCTTTGCTGTAGCTTGAGTTACAAATAAGACATGGAAATCAAGGTGGTTAAAAAGATGCCCTAATCAAACCACAAACTGTTAATGCACCTGCCTAATTATTAATACAACTCTATTAACATGATGAGAAAAGACACATGCATCTTAATCCCTGTGCTAGAACCAGGTCTCTAGGAAAGAAAGAGTTTACTTGTGCAAATTGAGCTGCAGTATGGCCAGAGTTGTGCATTTCCCTGAATCAGCACAGGGAGGGCAAACAAGAGCAGTTTTCTGCCAGCCTATGAGAGAATTCCTGCAAACGCAGCCAAGACACTGAAGCCATTCATAGCCCGGGACGGCAGCGCAGCCAAAACTCACGGATAAGACAGAAGCCTTGTCCTTTGGCTTAACTGAAATGAAAACTGTCAAAATTTATAGAAAAACCTACAGAAGAACCACTCAAAATGGAGATGATGTTAGAAACAACAGCACTTAAGAAAATGCACCCTTTTACGCCAAATTACTACCTTACAACCTAGACTCTGCATATTTCAGTGTTTAAGAGAACTAGTCTGTGTACAATAAGAGTTTGCAGATGATAAATACAGAAGTTGAGCCAGCAGCTACTATAACTGAACCACGCTGATTAGCAAAGGAAGAACTAACCTTTTGTTTCACCTAAGGGATACCTCATTCAAAGCAGTCCTATCAAATTGAAACATCTGTCATCGCTCTCTGTTATTTCAATCACAGAGGTGGTTTCTCAACCTCATGAGCAACGTTGTGCAATCGCACAACGGTGTAATGAAATACTATGACCGGGGAAGGGAGGGGGGGAAGGAATAAAGCTTCTACCAGAGGAAAGAAAAAAATCCCTGTCTTTTTCAAGCAACTCCTGTGCGAAACCAAAAAAAATCTTCTTCCACTCTTCCCATTTCATGCTATTTCTGTTGGATATCTAACAAGCTTCGCACAAGGCCAGCTGGCCGACTCCCCAGAGCTACCACGAGGCAGCCGTTCAAGTTCTCCCATGCTGTAAAGACCCTTATAATTATCAACAGAGCCGTTTCCCCAGAGTCACCAGCCTGCCTCTGAGCACACCACGGCCCCACACACCCTCGTGCCCGCTCCCCTCCGCCCTGCGCTATATAAAGATCCCCCATCTGCAAATCAAACACAAACACAAAAGTCAGYGAGCGCCAGCAGCACTCGGTGCAACTCCAAAATACGGAGGCTGATGTAATTTTCAGTAGCATTCAGCAGAGAGAGATTTTTTTTTACTTCAGTTGTAGCAATATCTACAGCAGAACTGATAAAGCACGTGTGAAACAAAGCAATTCACTTCAAAATGCAAAGTTGTCTGGCTACCCTGCGAGCAGTTTAAATAAATGAAATAACAGGCCTGTCTATATTAAAACAATAATAATAATAATAATAATCACTTACACTGTAAAACACAAAACAACTTGTTCCAGAACAGAAGTGACAAGGTTTGCAGGAATACAGAGGAAATTMAAAGGGCTCCTGTTTTCTTCCACCATCCCACCCCATTGATACATCCGGTTCCAGCTCTTTAGGAGCAACTAAAGTTGAACATAAAGTCTGTTTTTTTTTCCAAAAATGAAACATCCTTGGTTTTAATGAATGCTGGGCTCCAGGGCACAAGGAAAGGGAGAAGGGAGGACAACCTTCTTACTACAGGGTTCCTTCCAACACTTCAGAACAGTCAATGTCAGCATATCATAAACTCGGTGAGGGAAGAAATGAAAAAAACACAAGCTACAACAAACCCTTCCAACTTATGTTTTTTTTCCCCCCATCCTTGCAACCTTAACAAATTACTTTCCCCCCAAATTGCACGCTTTAAGCTTTCCGGCAGCCAGRGCATCAATCCACACACCACTTTATATCTTTTCCCTCCCGTTAAAGAGTGTGTATTGTATTTCAGGCTACGGATTCACGGCAGCTTTGGGCTCAGCTCGGCAAGTCACGGAGGAGCAAATAAGCGAGTCTACGGAGCCGTTTTCACTCCATCTCCTGCAGTTCGCACCCAACGCGGCAGCGCTGGCGGCCGCTCGGCGCACGGGAGCCGCGGCCCGGGCCGCCCCGGCGGCGAGCGCAGCCCCGGGTGCGGGGGGGGACAGGGGCGACACGTTTCGGGAAAGCCGCCCATCCCGGCGTGGGCAGAACCACGCTATTATGGCCCGATCCCGGTTAATAGGGATCCTGCGGGCACGGGGATGCGAGCGGCGGGGGAGGCACCGCGGGGCCGCTTTGTCCTCCGGCGGGAAGCGACACGCGGCGCCGCGCGGCCGCTGCCCCCGT